AGACAGACAGACAGACAGACAGACAGACAGACAGACAGACAGACAGACAGACAGAGACAGAGACAGACAGACAGAGACAGGCAGGCAGACAGAAAGGAAAAAAACTGCCACGCCATATCCCAAAATTTGCCCCGAAGTTGAAGTGAATTCCACTTGGTTGGTGTGTTCCCTACAACAGTATTTAGAAGATATTAAAGGCCCTTTTCTGAGCCTGCATTTATAACTCTATCATCAGTGTATCTGATATTGTTAGTATTTCGTTCTTCTACATTTCTTATTACATAGGTTGTTTAACTGTATTTGTTGTTTAAGAAGTCTGGTAACATAATATGCTTCTTTACCCCTTAATCTGCGCATGTATTCGGTGTTCTCTCAATTCTTACAGCATTGTTTTGGTCCCAGTGCAAATTCTTTATAGTTCTTGAATCCTTTCCATATATGTCTAGCTCTTCCAAATTTTTAAATAGTATAATGTATTATGTTCACTCTATCAAAAGTCTTTTTGAGCATAGTATGTATATTCTATATTTCTTTCTGTTCTTCGGTACATCTTTCCATTAACTTTGTTGGGGTGAATCGAGTGCCTTTGTTAGAAACGAAGCCCACTAAATGTGTTTTAGACATCACTGGTCTTAAACACAGTTTTTGTTCTCGTTTCTTTCCATTAGCACTAGTGGCGTCGGTGGCGTAGTTGTTAGGCTGTCGGAACCGTAATCGTGAGAGTGCGGGTTCAAGGGTTTGAACCTCAGCCTGGTTGTATCTTTGGGAAAGGCACGTTACGTGAATTTCTTATTTGGCTCGGTCGTTTCGGAGATGGACGTTATATTCGGAGTTCTGCTTCTTTAATAACCTAATACTAATAGTGTCGATAGGGGTGGTAAACCTATACCATTCATCATTAGCACTCACGGTAATGTTTTAGGGAAATGGCTCATGAGACCCATTGTCCCATGCAACTCACGTTGTGTGGCACCAATTGTTATTTTTATTATTATTATGAGTTTTAGTGTTTGTGAATTGACTTTATGCGTTAGGCGAACCTAATCAACGGGCTATGTGTTCCAAATACAGGCCCACAGAACACTGGTATAATGTAGAGAGTGTCCTGTCTGCCATGCCTCTTGTAACGAGTGGGTGGTTGTTTGGTGAGTCAAGCTCTGTTTGTTTTACTGTGTTTCAGCGTGGTACTCCCGTAGACACAGAAAACATCTCACCCACTTGAGCAGAGAGCGGAACGCGATTCCACCAGCCATTGCACAGCCGAGCTGAGAAATCATCGAGAAAAAAAAGGAAAAGGAACTTTCTTAATAATTGTACATACCTGTGTTATCTCAATCATACCGTCATCGTCATCACCATTATGTTATAGTTACAGCATGTGAAGAGTGTAGGGGGAGAATTTTGCATTTGTCTCAACTCTCATTTTCGCTTTTGTCCTTTTCTAAAATCTGTTGTTTGACTTTTGTTTTGTCCATCATTTCTACCTTTTTTTATCAGAAACACTGTGCTATGTCATATCTTAAACAGCTTTACAAGGAAATACAATGACATTTAATGACGTGTGAAATAAAGGTAGTACTTCTAAATATTTTTACCTGTGCCTTGTGCGTGAGATCTTCATAATAACAATATTATGTGTACTTTGTTGAGAGGCTCTCGTGCCCTTGAGGTTTAGGTGTTCGCCTCTCATTCAAAGGTCCCGGGTTCGAATCCGGGTAGCAACGGAAAAGTTTTCTTCTCTTAAATTGTCTCCTTTCACCTCCTTTCCAGCTCTCTGGCAATGTTGTGTCGTCTGCTTTCGTCTCCACTTTCTGCCCCCACCCCATCATCTCCGTTGCCCCCTCCTCTGGGCACCTGGCTCTTTCTGCAGCCTTTCTACTGCTACTCCTTTGCTCTTTCTTACTGCTGTCTTTCAGCCACACCCGGATCTTCTGGTAAGAAAGATCTACACTTAGCCTTCTCGGACAAGGGCGAACAATCTCGGAGACCCCGTGTGCAAATTGCGCACGTTAAAGATCCATTGGTGGTCTAAACTCTATAAGAGGCTTCGGCTGCCACCCGGCAAAATTCAAAATTTCCTTCCAACTTAAAACGTTTCTTGTGTCCCGCGCGCTCGCATGACCTTATGCAGTTGCGAGCGCTGTAAAACACTTACAACTAAAAAGTACTTTGTAGTAAAAGTTCTATGGCAGCAGATGATCAGGTTCATGTTTTGCTGTCTTTTATACAGCATGTTGGTGCGGACAATTTTATATACCAAATGTAAAAAAAAAAAAAAAAAAGAAACGTTTTAAAAACGTTTGGTTTTGTTTGTTTGTTTGTTGTTGTTCTTTTTTTTTTTTTTGGGGGGGGGGGGGGGGTAGATGTTTTACCGCGCTTCCAACTGCATAAGGTCATATGAGCCTGCGGAACACATTCAGAATTTCCATTTTGGTACGAATTAATTTTGAATTTTATCAGAGTCCCGGGTGAAACCTACTCTTATCAATTTTATGACTGCCAAGGGATCTTTAAATTTGGGAGATTTTGTTTGCTGATTCATATTAAATGAAAAATGAACTGCCTTGTCATCTTTCCGTTGCACAACAGCAATTTATTTTTTTGCAAAACTTAATCCCGAAGTATGTTCTGGTTTTGGTTCAGTTTTGATGTCAATTGAGTCAGACACGAGAAAGTTATCAACATTAGTTTGAACAAACGATTTTCTAGTCAGCTGGTACTGCATTGTACACCAGTGTTCTGTATAAGTATTGCATTAGGAATAGTGCTACACATAGATCTACACACACACGTGCGCACACACGTACACACACACACACACACAC